TATACTTTTTATAGTATAATTTTTCAATGTGAACAATGAACATATTTTAAAAATCCAAATATAGTCTCACTGTACCATAAAAATAAGAAGCAAAAAGTATATAAACCTAAAATTAGGTTTAGTAACTGTTTATTTTATCATTCTTAGAAATGATGTAGGTATTTAACAAATATTTATAAGTTAATTTAATTTAGCATGTCTAAGGTTTTAAGTTACCAAAAAGATCTTGGGAACTGTCTTTAAGGTGACATTATAAAACATAATTATTGTTGAAACAAAGTTTACCAGAATAATGACTCAATTTAGCTAAAAGCAAATTCACATTTTTATAATCATAAACATCTAGTAGATATAATACTAGCTTATTTGACTAGTAAACCTGTTTAAGTTTAGGAAGAATATACCCAAGTAGAATAAAAATATATGCTTGTATTATATGTAATACTGATAACTCAGACAACATAGTTGTCTGTTAAACTAACAATATTAAATTAATCTTGTTTGCCAAGGATTTACCTAAATTCTGTGAACTTGAATTTTAAAAATTTGGGTAGTTTTTATGAGAATACTTATTTGTTATTTACACTGAAAGTATTAGAAGTTGTTTCTTAACTTATGAGAGTTTTAGGATTTTTTAATTTATGTAAGTGCTTATTTATCTCTAAGTCAATTAGAATAGAGGATAAGGGATTTTGTAAATTAATTTATTAATACTATCTGGGGGAAGGGAAATATTACACATATATCTCTCACATACACACACATAAACATACAGACAGACACAAATAGAGGTCTTATTTTTTTAATTCTAGATTTTCAGCCAGCAGTCAGGCATAAACACAGAAATGCAAAACTCACTGTTTCATATAAAAAAGTTGGTTTAGGCCGGGCGCGGTGGCTCACGCCTGTAATCCTAGCACTCTGGGAGGCCGAGGCGGGCGGATTGTTTGAGCTCAGGAGTTCGAGACCAGCCTGAGCAAGAGTGAGACCCCGTCTCTACTAAAAAAAATAGAAAGAAATTAGCTGGACAACTAAAAATATATAGAAAAAAAAATTAGCCGGGCATGGTGGCGCATGCCTGTAGTCCCAGCTACTCGGGAGGCTGAGGCAGGAGGATCGCTTGAGCCCAGGAGTCTGAGGTTGCTGTGAGCTAGGATGACGCCACTGCACTCCAGCTAGGGCAACAGAGTGAGACCCTGTCTCTAAAAAAAAAAAAAAAAAAAAAAGTTGGCTTCCATTTTTGACCCACCTTTAAATTTTGACCAGGATTGTGTTTCTAGCAGATGGAACAGGTCGGGGTTACCTGTTCTATGAGAAGGCTAAAGCATCCCATCAATATTGATAAAGGAGACTTGTAAGATTTTCTTTTGCCCTGATGTGTAATCTTATAGAAGCTGCAGACTAAATTTTGGGTGAGGGACAGAAGAGTCACCAAGTGGGTGTCTCCAAAGCCCATCTGAATAGATACAATATCCAAAGTGTTTCCAATTAGCTTTTGCATCGTCAGGTGGTTGCTTTTGAGCTCCCTGAGCCCATGGAGAGCCCCTGACAGCAGGGAGAGCTAAAACTCTAGTGACTATGGGCAGTCGAGGGGGCTGAGTGGGAAGGGTGGATAGAGGGATGCAGGAGGTAGAGGTGTTGAAGAGGGAGAGATGGAAGGATTCAGGGAGCTGAAGGGAATGTCCAAGGTGGTGAAAAGGAGGGAGGAGGGACGGGGGTGGGTGATGGAAAGGGAGAAATCTTAGATGAGCCGGTTTGAGGCGATCCCAAATTTCCCAAGGAGGTCACAGAAGTTCCAAATTATCCTTTGTGAAATTTTGCCTTTTGGGGGAGACACTGTACAGAATGAGTGCCATAGGAGCAGAGCATGTAGTCAGCAAAGGAGGAGGCAGAGGAGCAGCACCTGGTAGATTGAGAGTTATCCATGTGAAGAGGAGGTTCAAGTAGAGACAGGAGACAGGCTGGACAAACAATCCCACTAGAAAGTTCCACACACAATCCTCATCTGGTAACCAAAGGGGGTTTCTCTGTGCAATCCTCACTGATGAGCTGAAGGGCTTGTCCTGTGAAATCCTTAGACAAGGAGTCAGGACAAACAACAAGGCTTCACAGAAAAGGTGGGAATTTCCCACTGGAGAGTCAGGGAGTAAATCCCCACTTGAGAAGAACCAAGAAAACTTCTGTCCAGGAAGATTCTGGTTCAAACTGAAAAGAGCCAGGAAGAGTCCTGCTCAACAGGAAGAGTCAGGGGTTAAATCCCTACTCAAAAAGAGTGAAGAAGACTTCTGTCTGGGAAGATTCTTGCTCAAACTGAAAAGAACTGGAAAGAGCTCATGTAATAGAATCGAAGTAGCTCTGTCTGAGTCATGGAACCAGAAAAAAGTATCAAATAAAAACAAATACGGACTTAGATAAGGACCGATTTTATTTTAAGACTTGTAGTAGGAATAACGCTGCAATCTCAGGATTTGCAAGTATTATAAAATCAAACAGAAAAAGACTTTTAAAAAAATTCTGCTATGAAGAGGTAAGCAGAGATAGCAGCTACTTTTAAGGAGGAGGTAGGCAGGCAAAGGGAAAACCGATTAGCATGGTTTGACCAGAAATGGTCTCCCGGTGGTTAGCCCATTCTCAGGATAAGCTGATAAGTGGGGCATTTTCTGCATTTTAGCACTTGCTTAAGCAGAAGCTAGCAAAGTTCAGGGGCCTGTGAGGAGGAGAGAAGCCTGCCTGACATTTGGTCAAGGCAAAGGAGAGTGTAGAAAATAGACAATTGTAAACAATTGGTCAACCTCCAGGCAATAACCCATCCTGGGTTTCTGGCCTAAGACTCTTGAGAAACAAGGAGGAACATAGCTGGAAGAAGCAGCAGGCTTGCCTGTGTGTGGTTCCACCCAGTAGCCTTATTGCACCTCTGCCACTTTCTAGAACTCAGCATGTTCCAAACCATTTTTCTCAACACACTCTCACCAAAACCAACCAAATAAGCAAAATAATTGATGCACTAACTGCATCACCCACTGTGTTCCTCATCTCAGAAAATGGCATCACTATTCACCTCGTTTGGGGCATATTAAGTGCCAAACCTATGAGACATGTAAGAGGTGAGGTCCTGGAGGCAGAAGCATAGACAAATGGGACTGGAACTTAGGGGTGAGGTCTGGACTAAAGGTACACATTTGGGAGTCCTCTGTATGTCAATGGCAATTGAAGCCACGGGAATGGGTAATATTGTTCCCAGAGTATGCATGAAGTGAGAAGAGAAGAGGTAGAGGGCAGAACCCTAGAGGAGCACCCATATTAAGAGGTAGGGCAAAACAAGAGGAACCTGTCAAAGAGATGAGTAAGGAGTGGCCAGAAAAGTAGGAGGCCAACCAGTGTCTGCTGTGGAAGGAAAAAACAGAAGAGAAAAGGGAGAGTTGGCAACTGTACCAGTTAACTGGACTTAGCCACAAAAATGTCTAGAAGAGTGGGATGGTGTGATAAAGCAACCTCACCCCCTCCCAATGGTTTGTTGCCACCTAAGACAAGGACAGAAATTGAGAGTATTTATAAACTTTTATAACACTTTGACATTGTAAGGGCATCCAAGCCTGTAATCAGTTGACTGTTCAGGTTAAATAGGGTAGAGACGAGTTGCGTGTTGTGGTGAGTCACATGGTTTGGGAGCTGTGCTGTAAGACCAAATGTCAGTCCCAGACAGATGGGGGAAGGGAGGTTATTCAGCATATAGTTTGAGAAGCACTAATAGCTTCTGTGGAATGTTGATGGTAAGAAGGGAATGAAAAGGTGACAAGAGTGGGTGCAGACAGCTCTTTAGAGAGTTTGGGCGTTGGGAGGGGAAGAGAAGTGGCTGGGGTGAGGTACGGGGACTTAAGTTCAGAGAGACTTTTTATTAAATGAGACGTTTAAGTGATGATCCCCGCCCCTGCTTCTACCTGACCATTATCCCTAGGTTTAGAGACGCCAGAAGCGTAGCGACGATCACGTGATCACGCTGAGCCGTGGGGAGGGGGCAACGAAGTTCTATCCTGACTGTCATTTATTAGTTACAGGCGGACCCTCACCCCAGCTTTTACATCTGTAAAAAGGGGATAAAAGTGCCATTGCTTTGTAATAATAGCTGTGACTACTTCACAATTAAAACGACAAGAAGGTTCCAGCTGTGAAAACAAAGCAGCCACAATACCTGCGCGACAGCGTACCTGCGCCTACGATGCGCAGGGATCGTGCGCGCCGCCATTTCCTGCACCCGCGGGCTCGGGCCGCGGCGCCCGCCGGGAAATGAGCCCATCAACAAACAAAATGGCTGTCTCTGGGAGATCGGCGCTGGCGGGTCTTCTGCAGCAGTCCCGGCGCCGGCCTTGAGTCGGCGCTCGAGGATAACAAATGGCTCTGGGCCTCTCATTTTGGCCGCGCCCTAGAAATTTTGGGTTCTCATGGCCCTTCCCCCTTTTCGTGAAGTCAACGGCTCCTTGGAGAATTTAGCGAGCACCACGTGCCTGCTTTCTCTCTCTCGCCCAAACCAAGCCCGCCAGGACAGCCTGGGGGAGAATCCCCTCCCCAGATTGCCAGGGTGCACAGGTCTTCCTGAGCACCGTGGCCGGGGGAGAAGACTGGATGGTTTAGGTTTGTCTAGATCGGACAGATGGGCTGGAGGCGGAAAAGGGATGGAGAAAGGAGGGATGGCAGTGGGAGGAGGGGGACTGGAATGCTAGTGTGTTTGCAGCCAGGAAAAGACTTTGTCTTTTAAGACCTTGTTGAAGTCCTCAGATGACTTTGCCTTCTTCAGCAAGAAGGGAGTAGCAGTGCTGGGGGTCCTTCTAAGGAGTAGCCTGTGTGCTCCCTGGGGTGGGGGCTGTGCCTGGCTCCTCTATGCCCTACCCTCAGGTAGATGAACCCTTCCAAGCCCAGGACAGGTGACAGCCAGTGTGCAGTGGGTGAGCAAGGGCTAATCCCAGATACTTGCTCCGTTAAGCATGCTGCTCGTTTTTCCTCAGCGCCTTGGCTGGTTATGAGAAGAATGTGGCCACCAAGGTTGGAGAGGCCTGGCAGGAGAGGCCGGGAGCCCCGAGAGGTGGCCACGGAGACCCAGCTGTACCCACGCAGCAACCTGCAGATCCCAGCACCCCAGAGCGACAGGGCAGCCCCAGCGGACCCGAGCAGCTCATCGGACTGGAGAGCTGTGGCAGCAGGTAAGGGCCGAGCTGCACTGGGCTCCTGCCTGCTAGAGCTGGCGTTTTTGTCAGGGCCATAACCCAGGACAAACACTAGACGCTAGGCTTACCTGTTACCCTCTGCAGGTGTGAGAGGCTAGGAGCCAGAAAGAAGCAGACCAGAAACCAGCATCCCAAGGGTAGGGTCTCCATGGGTTTCAGAGACTAAGCCTGGCACAGAGAAGGTGCACAGATAACCATGTTGTTCAGCAGCCACTTGGAGCTTGAAAACCTGGGTCAGGGGAGGGATATGGGGTGCTTTTGCCATTCATGGAGATGGAAGGTCTCTGAGGAAGGTGTACCATGGTGTGGATGGGACTTGCTACCAGAAATAAAGGCTTTACCAGTTGGATGACCTTTTCCACTGCCATCACCATCAGGATGGCTGTGCATTTGGTCAATAACTTGCCTCCACCGTGGTAACCTAGGGTTGTGCAGTGGTTGCACGAAGTTAGCAGTGGCCTGAGGAAACGGGCTGTGAGTTTTCTGAGAGAGGCCAGGGACCAAGGAGGAGCAGGGCAGTAGGGAACAGACAGCACCAGCCCCTTAAGGTGGTTTGCTGTGAGCAGCTCAGGTCTCCCAAAGTGGTAAGTGTTCTGGCGCCTAACCTCTGAAGAGCAGTGCCTGTTCACATCAAATCACGATGTTTGCAGTAGCTGTGAGAACTTTCCAATTTTGAAACTCTAGATGACTTGTACAATATTTTTTCACATTTGAAAATAATGTTTTTAAAGACAATCTTGTAGCAGATGATACACCATCCTGAAACATTTTGTTGTTTCTCATTTCCAAAAATTCATGGAAAGTTGAAGTGGAAACAGTGTAGTTTCCAAGGGCTTCTTAGCCCTCGCATCTGTGTGGGCAGGACAGAGAGGACAGGAGAGCATGTCATGATTTGATGACATTCTCCCCATTCCTACCAGGTCAACTTTATTTTCATCTCTGTGATGAAACTTTCTGGCTCCCACATCTAGCTTCAGTCCCTAGGAACCCACCCTTTGGCTCCTGTACTGGCAGGACATGTAGTAGAGGCTTCCCATCCAAGGAAGGACTTGCCTTATTCTCAAAGTTTCCTTATTTCTGGTGCTTCATGGCAATTTTCCTGTCCCCTTATCTGATTTTGAGCGTGTGCCTTGCTCTGACTTCTGTCCTCCCTCTGTGTCCCAGTTCCAGGTCATTTTCTTGACCAGCTCTCCCTCTTGCCTCATCTTGCCTCTGCCAATCAAGTATTCTAGCTCTGCCATCACCCTCCTACCATGATCCATTGCTTTGATTTGGTGGCCTCAGGAACAGGGCGAGGAAAAGGCTGTTCTAGCTTCATCTTTCCGAGGAACTCAGCAAAAGAGATGTTTGCTGACCTCTTGTATTCCTCAGCCTGGCTCTGGTCTCTCAAACCTGACAGATAGGATGCATGCCTGGGTGTCCCCCTGGCCGTTTTCTGTGTGAGGCCAGTAGCCCTTCCCTTATCACCTCTTAGAGTCACAGTCGATGATGGTGAAGGAAGGTGTTCTTGCCTATTAGGAGGTCCCTTTGCTCTTCAGAGATCTTTTCCCAAAGCAGCCATGTTTGGGAATAGCCACGAACCAGGGGACACTGCCTAGAAGTGATACATACACGGTGAGCACAGTGGCCAGGGCCCCACCCACCTGCCCTGAGAGAGCACACTGTCCATCCCTGAATAAACGTGGTATGATAATTGTTAGCGCTGCTGCGTGCTGAGAACATGCAGGCACCGTTCTCCATGCTTTATGTGGAGTCACCCATTTAATTTTCACAGCAACTCTATGAGGGAGGTACTATTATTATCATCTCCATTTTACAAGTGAGAAACGGAGGCAAGTGAAGGTTAAGAAAGTTGCCAACAGTTATTGAGCCAGGAGGTGGCCTAACCAGGATTAGAACTGGGGCTGTCAGAGCCCAGAGCCAGTAGTGTTAGTCCTTGTGGTCTGTACACTGCTCCTCCATATGTGATAAGCCCAGAAAAGAAAGAAACCAGGTGCTCTGATGGAGAGGAGCTGGGGCAGAAGCTATTGTAGCTCAGGTGGGTGGGAAAAGCTTTTCTCTTGAGGAGGGGACAGTTCAGCTGACACCTGAAACACCTGGAGGAGTCTGCCTTGTGAAGAACCTGGGAAGAAGCAATGTGGACAACGGAGGGGGAGGAGGGCCTGAAAGATGGGCCCTGTGGTTGGAGGGTAGGAAGTGAGGTGAGCAGGGGGCAGGAGGTGGGCCCTGTAGGGTCTTGAAGGCCAAGGAGAGCTGCTCCTCTTGGGGAGCACTGCACGGCTCCTGTTGCTCACATTGCATTCCTGGGGGGATCTCCAGGGAATTTTTTTTAGAGACAGGGTCTTGCTATGTTGCCCAGGCTGGCCTCCAACTTCTGGGCTCAAGAAGTCTTCTTGCCTCAGCCTCCTGAGTAGCTCCAGGGTACTTTTTTTACCTTGCCCCTTCAGTTCTGCTGTCCCCTTGACTATTCAGCTGACACAGATCAAAGGATGCCAGACACTTGCTAGTTTTCCAATCAGCAGCAGATCTTATTTCCTTCCTCTCACAGTCAGCCCCCTTCTCGCTCCTTGCCTCTGCACTTTATCCCCATCTGTCTTTCCAGGTTCCTATGGGGCCTCCTCTCCCATCCAGCCCCCCTCCTCCAGTCTCCATGGCGTATTTCTGTGTCATAGGGTGATGAAAGAAGAGGCACAGGGTGATTGTGTGCCTTGAGACAGGGTGTCTCACATAGCCAGCAGTGGGAGGGCAGGACCTCAGGAAGGGCTTCCCAGAGGAGGAGGTGGTATTATCTGCAAAGGCATGAGAGAGAGCTTGGCACATCCAGGGGAGCTGCAGGCCAGTCTGTATGGCTTGAGCTTTGGTCACATGTGACATAGTTTGAGACTGTGAGGTAGGAGAGCTCAGCAGGTGCTAGATCCCCTTCCCCACTCTTAAGCTAGCCGAGGTCTTGGACACTGGATTGTCTGACAAGGAAGTGATACCCTAGAGCCTGGGCCAGGTCGGGGCAGCCATATGCAGGGTGTGATCTGGGCGGGCAGCATGTTGGAGAGAAGCCAGAATCGGCCCAGGGCAGTGTGCACCCACAGCATGGGCCTGAGGCCGCTAGAGAGTGGACAGACCTGAGTTGAATGGGACAAACAGAACATAATGCCCTGAGCTGCAGCGGGCAGCTGTGGCAGCTTTTGGTGTGGGGCTGTGGCCTGGGGGCAGGTAGAGTGAGAGCCAGCAAGGGTCTGGCCAGAGAAAGGCCTGTGAGCTGCCTAGGAGGTCAGATTCCAGGCCAAGGGCCATATGCTGCGGCTGAGGTGTGGCGATTCAGGAAAACCAAGATACCTGTCAGTCTCCTGCTTCTTCTGGTAGCAGATGCCTTCCAGACTGAGATGCATACTTTCAGTGCGACTTTCCTTTCAGTGTGACTTTCCTTATGGTGCGATCTGGGCCATGTCTCAACCCACCTAGCCTGGGTTTTCTTACCTGTAAAGTGAGAAGTTCCATTCATTGATCTCCAAGTAGCCTTCAGGAGCAAAAGCTCGGTGACTTGCAAGTGTTGTTTCAAAAACACCAGCACCATTTAAACCCTTGGAAGTGGCAGTGTCGGGAGTAAGGCTCAGAAAAGCCTGTCTAACCCTGGAAGATGTCAGTTCTTAGTGTTGACACGCTCACCCCCACCTCCATTTCTTTCAGGGTGAGAAGCCCCTCAAGCTGCATGGTGACTGTTACTGTCACTGTCCCTTCTGAGCAGCCTCACAGTTATATTCCAGCCCTGCCAAGTGAATTGGACTCCAGCTCGACCACGTAAGGAAGGATACCTAGCAACCTGGGGGATGTCTGGGCACAGAGTGGCTCCCCCATTTTCCCCTTGGGAGTAAAGGACTCAGCTTTTGTTCTGTGTTGCTTCTGCTCTAGAGCCTCCCCAACTCCTAGCAGCCCTTTGGCCAGGGGCTCCCATCATACAGTATTAGTCCCTGATATAAACTCTGATTTGCTGGCCTGGACATAGTCTCATCACACCCTCACCTCATTCACCCTATCCCAATAGAAGCTGAGGTGGCATTCCTCGGGCATTAGTGGGTGTTGGCCTTTGCTAATGTCCCCATGGAACGTGTCTGGGAAGGCCAAAAGCCCATGAAGGCCAGGCCTGTGCCTGTCCCTCTCACATGCTCCCATGCGCACTGCTTTCCCTGCCCTTCTGTCCGCCTTTTCGGGTGCAAGGAGGGGTGCTACTGCAGGGAGGCTACTGAGTGGGGTATGTGTTGAGGGGGGATCTGAGGGGACCTCCACGGACATCAGGTCAGCAGGCTGGAGTATACAGCATGAAAAAGGGGGCCAAATTTGGAGCCATGCTGAGCCCAGTGTGACGCAGACTTTGTTTTCAGTGCTGCCAGGGGCCTGTCCAGGATGAGGTGACTTCTAGGCCTCTGGAACTCCAGGAATGAGAAGGGAGAGGTTAGGTTTGGAATGGAGATTGCACAGTAGCTGAGGCCTCTGAGGAGGCCCCAGGTGGCAAGGACTGACAGTCTAGAATTAAGGCTTGGAGGATGTTCTGGTTGTGGGTGGAGGGGAAAGAAGGCACAGCCACAGACGAGGGATTCAGGAGCAGAAGTCCAGGCGTCTAGGAAGAGGGTGGGAACACAGAGGTCTGCATCAGTTGCAGGGAGCCTCTTGCTAGGGCTCTCAGTCCAGACACAGCAAGCTGCACCCATGGGCTGGGATGTCAACCCAAGTCCACCACAGCTCCCTCTGCTGCTGCCCCGGAAGCTGATGCCTAGAGTCTACCAGCCCCTCTGCCCAAGGCCTTCCCATGAGCTTCTTTACTTCCTTGAAACCAAGCAGGGGTACCCTAGCCCTGAACCTCTTCTGTGGGCCAGGCCCAGTCCCCTGGAATCTTCCAGTGTACCCTTTGTGTTCTGCTCTGCTCCTTCTACAGTAAAGCGATTCTCTTTGTGAAGGAGTATGTCAATGCTAGCGAAGTGTCTTCTGGGAAGCCGGCATCTTCACACTATGGCAGGTAAGAGCAAGTCCCAGATCCGTCCGTGTCATGGCCTTCTCTTTCCAGGCCCCATTTTGCCCTCATCCTGCACCCCTAGTACCTTGTCCAGGACTTGGCCCAGAGTAACTTGCGGGGAATTGTTTGTTAAATGGATGAGTGATATAATTGCCCTCTGATGTGATTTCTGCATTTTTAGGTGTTCCACCTAATTGTGTGCCTTTGAGTTCTTCCTAACGGTTAACTCATCCTGCACTCCACTTGCAGCGCCATCCCGTTTTGCCTGCCTTTGTTGCTTTCTTTGTGAAATCCTGACAGCATCTCCCTTTAAAGAGTTGGCAGGGCCTTTAGGGACCCTCTAGTTGATTCCATCTCATTTCAGATCACAGGGCTCTTCTCTTGAGCCCCCATGCTCTTTCTGGCATGCCAGGCTGCCTCATCTGAAACACACACATGACTGGAGTCCCTGATACATGCATGACTTTTAACTGATCATCTCTTCCCCTGCTTGTTTCTTAGTGCCATATGGAAGGGTACCTCTGTGTCACACCAGTGCACTCCTACCTTCCAGATGGGGTCCCTCAGGGGAAATTTTTGTGACACGTCAGCCCACTGCTAGGATGAGGATTTTAGTAACGTATAGGAGCATCCCAGGCTTAGTTCAGGATTAGGCCTCTGGGGCTTCTGGACTGGCTTTCACTGGTGCTGTGCAGTGATGAGCATGGGCATGGGGGTCACATTCCAGCCTCAGTTCAGCCTCTGCTGTTTGGGTCTTTTGGGGCAAGATACTCAACCTCTGTGAGCCTCAGTTTCATCATCTGTAACCCCTTAGGGGAGTTTTTCTCAGCAGCTTTACTGAGCTATAATTCACCCTTTAAAGCATGCAATCCAGTGGGGTTTGGTATATTCACAGAGTTGTGCAACCATCACTACTGTTCAATTCTAAAACATATTCATCACCCCAAAAAGAAACCCCAGACCCATTAGCAGCCCCCACATCACCACCCTTAGCCCCTGGCAACCACTCATCTATTTTCTGTCTCAATAGCTTCATTCAGGGAGGTTTGGAGATTAGAAATATGTGAAACCTTTGGCACACCCATGAAATCTGTCATTGCCATCTAGTATTTGCCTCTATGAGAGTCACTTGGCAAAATTGTGTCTATCTCCTGGTCTCCTCCCAGTCCCACCACCCTGTTAAATTTAATTCTTAGACTCTGACAATTAAATTTATTTTAAAATTGAATTTAATTTTTAGTCAAACTGTTGTCTTATGAAAAAACAGTAGCCTTTTTTTTTTTTTTTTTTTTTTTTTTTGAGACAGAGTCTCACTGTGTTGCCCGGGCTAGAGTGCCGTGGCATCATCCTAGCTCACAGCAACCTCAAACTCCTGGGCTCAAGCGATCCTCCTGCCTCAGCCTCCCGAGTAGCTGGGAATACAGGCATGCGCCACCATGCCTGGCTAATTTTTTTTTCTATATATTTTTAGTTGTCCAATTAATTTCTTTCTATTTTCAGTAGAGACGGGGTCTCGCTCTTGCTCAGGCTGGTTTCGAACTCCTGAGCTCAAACAATCCACCTGCCTCGGCCTCCCAGAGAGTTAGGATTACAGGCGTGAGCCACCGCGCCCGGCCAGTAGCCTTTCTTTATCGGGCAGTGAGAATTGCATGGTCCAGTGTGTTGCTCAGAAGAAGTTAGGACCTGAACTCACACCTTATCCCAAGCATGACCTTGGGCAGGTCACTTACCCTCCGAGCAGTTTTCCTGACAATCTTATGGGGCCACAACACAGCTCCTGGGAGGAAGGAACCTTCGATAATGGGTATCCCAGGACTCATAGCTAGTCACCCTTCCCTGCCAATATTTTTGTTTAATCACCAGTTTTTGTTATAAAAAGTGAAGATGCAAAAAGGAAAAAGAAACCAGAAACCACACCTCTCTCCTAATCCCAGTCTGAAACTGAAGCACAGGTATTATGTCAGCATGTTCCCTTCTTTCTTCCCATTCCCGGTGTCTGATTTCTGCTGTGAATGGGTTCCTGGTGACTGTCACATTGTAACATAGGTGGGAAGAAGAGCTCTGCTCTTTTCCTATTGATCGGTGCAACTGAGGGTCCTCCTGGCCACCTCACGCTCGTCATCTCCCTCATTGTGATGGGTCTTCTTTGCCCCCATCGAAGGGCTCTTCTCGAAGAGAATCACACCTTCTTGGCATCAGCCTTTATGGCACCAGGTGCCATTTAGGATGATGGATGGCAGCCTGCAGTGTAGAGTCATGTCTCAGCTATGGCCCCAGGGTTAATTAGGAAAGTGTTCTCTGAACATGACTGTAACAGTGATCTGCTCCCATCTTTTGCCCTCCTCTTCCCCACACACTCCCTGCAGTGTCAGCAGCATTGAGGACTCGTTTGACATGGAGAAGAAACCGCCATATGACAGCACCCCGTACTCTGAGAGGTATGTGTACTTTTTTTTTTTTAACCAGGGAGCTTGCAGTTCTACAGAGGAGAAACAGCTCAGGAAAATGTCCACACTAAGTCTGTCTGCTTTTGTCTGCTGCTTTGCAGTTTCCAATCTGTTTGCAGATCTGTCACACAGTGCAGGACAATGCTATGGGGTGGTGCTTCCCTCATGGGAATGTCACACTTGTGGCAATTAGAGCTTTGAACCCAGCTAAGGCCAGAGGATAGACACGAAAGGCTACTGAGAAGGGAAGTGGTGGTGTCTGAAAGCCCAGGGGCCTCATGTCTGTGCAGAGGCCCTTTGGATTAGTACCTAACTGATTACTTAATTAACTTGCAAATCTGACCAGAAGTAAAAACTGAAAAAAAAAAAAAAACAACTACAAAAGATTGGTGGGTAGAAAATGAAGAAAAATGCTATTATCAAGAAGCCAGAAAAGACACAGAGCTAAGAATGCACAGTGGTATGGGGATGTTAAATTGAATGAAGGGGCAAGAGAACACCTCATTCGGTTTTTTGTTTTTTTTTTTTTTTTTTTTTGAGACAGAGTCTCACTTTTTTGCTCCGGCTAGAGTGAGTGCCGTGGCATCAGCCTAGCTCACAGCAACCTCAAACTCTTGGGCTCAAGCAAACCTTCTGCCTCAGCCTCCCGAGTAGCTGGGACTACAGGCATGCGCCACCATGCCCGGCTAATTTCATATATATATATTTAGTTGTCCAGCTAATTTCTTTCTATTTTTTTAGTAGAGACGGGGTCTCACTCTTGCTCAGGCTGGTCTCAAACTCCTGAGCTCAAACGATCCGCCCGCCTCAGCCTCCCAGAGTGCTAGGATTACAGGCATGAGCCACCGCGCCCAGCCTCCTCATTCAGTTTTGAAAGCTGTCACTAGACGATGTCACAGTCATAGGATCTTAATGACGAAGAAGTCCTATTTTAAAATATTGGAATGGGGAGAAAAGAGTCTTAGAGATTGAATTCACTCAGGTTGCTGTGAAGGAAACAGGTCTGGACAGAATAGGCAACATGCCTTACGTCACACAGTGAGTCAGTGGCAGAGCCAGGAGTAAACTCCAGGGCCCTGACTGCTTCCAGGTAGGGATGTTTCTACTCTGCCATCTGGCTTCTCATTAATCAAGACATCTAAATTCCTGTGGATGACATTCAGAGGCCAAAGCTAGATTGGGGAAAAAAGGAAGGAAGTGAGAGGGTTAAGATGAAGGGAATCCCACCAGGCCCCAAGGGCAAACAGGTAGAGGGGAAGATAAGCAGAGCAGGGCAGGGGAGTCCGCTCCATATGGCTGAAGAAACAGCCAGGTATCTGGATCCTGGGCAACCACAGATCACTTGGTGAGTCACATCACCAGATGATGTCTTAGCAGAGAAGGACAGGTTGGTCCGAAACCTGAGAGCTAACCAGTTATGTAGGAGCAAATGAAATGAGGCATCCTCTTCCAGATAACCTGGGGACCCCCTGTACATTGTGCAACTCCTGAATCCAGACTCAGACCTTACTGATCATTGCTGGGCTTAAAGGAAGGAACTGGACAACACCAGTCACTTGGGCACATACATGCACAGGCACAGAGAACAACCGTGGGCTGGAATTGGGCGTGGTAGAGAAGCAGGAGGGGCAGGGCTGCGCTGAGGGCAGGAGTCTAGCACTTCTGCTGTCAGAGTGAGTTCTGGGCCAACAGCAGGATGGCATCTGAGCCCTAGCTGTCTGTGGTAATTTTGGGCCCTCCTAGGGAGCTAATGTGGATCTAGGTTGGTAGCACCACCCTTGGCTCCCATGAGAAGCAGATCCAAATCTCTGGAGGAAAGCACCTGGTTTCAGCCTATAGGAGAAGGCACTGGTCTTCCTGCTCTGCAAGGGAATGGGCCCCAGCAGATATGCTAGGCAGAAGGGCAGGGAGAGCCAAGCTACCTAAAACAGGTATCACATCAAGCTGTGCACACATACTGCGGGGAGTTAGCTACGCTCCCAGCAAAAAATCGGGTCCCTTAGGTAGGGGTCATCACAAAGGATAAGAAAATAATAGAAAATGGAAAATAATAGAAATGAAAGAATACACAGAGACAAAGGTATAGTTTTATAGATTTATATAGATAAAAGGCAAAGTGGGGGTACTCAGGGGTTCTTACGATATCCCCGTCAATCGTAAGGCCACGAGTGAAGTTTTACATGGGTATTTATAGGTACAGAGATCGGTTGCTAGGGGTAACAGATTTACATAGTAACAGGTAGTTTGTTTTAGGTTAAAAGTATTTCAGAAGGCTTCTATAGATCGCTTAACTAACTCTGGTTACAAAATCTTTCAAGGACAAACTTCTAAGTTCTAAGATAAAGCTATCACTTAACAGAAGGATTAAACAGAGATACAGTGGCTCCATGTTTCTTTATCTAGTTATTGCAGATAGAGACAGGTCATCAGAAGTCAAGCAGGAACTGTCCCTTGGGCTAATTGTTTTTAGCTGCAGGTATCTGTCTCTCAGACGGACACTCTTTGATCAGCTCTCATCCCGTGATTCCATGTAGACCTTGCTTTGTCCTTCAAAGCAGGCGAGAACCACAGGTTTGAGACTGCAGCGTCACCTTGGAAAGCAGCTGCTACTGACCTTTGAGATGCCCTCCTGAGGTGGAGCAGCTTTTGATATGCAAACTAACACGTTCACATATTCCTTCAGGGCAAAGCCCTGCAAAACTCCTGAGATCATTTCTGTCTCTAATATAGTAATATTAATTTATGGAGCAACAACATACTACACGGCGTAGGGCAAAGATACGTGACTGGTTTTGGAGACAATGCAAAGGTCTATGGAGGCTGAGAACTGGTCTGGCCCAGGGCTATGCTGCCAATTGCACACCAAAGAAAAGGATGGCAGGCTGGGGGTGAAGTCTGTGTGCCAGCCCGACCACCAGGCTCTTGTTTCTTCACCTCACAGAACAACTGGAGGGATCTGTACTTACTGCAACCGTGAGATCCGAGACTGTCCAAAGATTACCCTAGAACATCTTGGCATCTGCTGCCATGAATATTGCTTTAAGGTAAGAAAGAGGGTGCTGCTAAGAACATACTGTAGAGTGCAGGAGCCTTAACAGGCTCAGAGAGTGTGGAGAAGGCTTGATCTCTGTATACAATTGCACACAATCTTGGAGGCTTTGCAGAACTGGGAGGTGAATGAGCTCCCAAGTCCAAGGGTGTGAATGAGCATTAGTGATTCGATGTGCTTAGTACTGTAGGGAGACAAAAGCAGTCTTCTAGGGAAAGACTCTTCCTGTTAGAGGGCCAACAAATGCATAGGCCTTGGGGCAGGCACACCAGAGTGTTCTAGCCTGTGTGGCTGGAATGGCATGAAGGGAGGGGGATGGATTAGATCACGTAGGCCTTGGAGGACACAGACTTTAAATTTTATTCTAAATGCAATTGGAACCTACTAGAAAGTTTGGCTGGGGGACTGACAGGTCTGATTTGTGCTTTTCAAAGGATCTTTCTGGCTCTGAGGTGAAAGAGGGCCTGTGAGGGGCAAGAATGGAAAAAGGGAGGCCAGTTAGGAGGCTGTTGCAGTAGATCAATCTAGAGAGAATGGTCACTTGATTAGGGAGTTGGCAGTGGTGATGGTGAGATGGTGGCTGGACTGGCAGTATTGTTTGAAAATAGAGCTGACAGAATGTGAGATATGAGAGAACAAGAGCAGTGAAAAGGGATCCCAAGGTTTGGGGCCTAAGCCACTAGGTGAGAGGATGGTGGTGCTGTTTGCTGCGATGGGAAGGCCTGAAGGGGAGCAGGTTTGGGCACGTAGTCAAGAGTGGAGGTAGAGGCAGGTGACATTGAAGATGCCTTGGGGAGAGCCAAGGGGGAGGGTGCAAAGGCAGTTGGATGTGTAAGTTTGGGTTCTGGGGAAAGACTAGGGGTGAGGGTCCTCTGGGTGTACATTTTCTGGGAGCCATGGGACTAGATGAACTCACCTAGGGTGTGCGTAGGCAGAGAGGAAGGCAGAGGACTGAGCCCTGTGGCTTTCTAGCATGTAGAGGTTGGGAAGAAGACACAGGTCTAAAAGGAAGCTGAGAAGTAATGGCACCAGGAGCCAAGTGATATAGTTTCTCAAGAAGGCTGCAGTAGCACCCTGTCAGTGATTGCTGAGAGATCAAGTAGGGTAAAGACTGAGAATTGCTCACTGTATTTTGCAACATGGTGGTCATCAGTGACCTCAATCAGAGCAATTTTGGTGCAATGATAGGAACCAGAGCCTGACCAGAGTGGGGTCAAGAGACAATGGGACATGTAGAAGTGGAGAGAGCGAGTCTAGCTGACTTGCCCAAGGGCTAGGCTTTGTAGGGAGCAGAGCAGTTGGGCAGTGGGGAGGAGATAATGGCATGTGCTTATGTTCACGCGATGAGTCAGCGGAGAGCAAACACTGATGCTGCAGGAGAGAGAGGCTAATGTGGGCATGATGTCCGTGTGTAGGAGGAAGAGGTGGGTACTTGTCCACACGTGGCAAAGCTGAGTATGTGGCTCATGTACGGCGAGGTTCCCAGGTTGGGTGGTGGGACAATGAGGGATATCTTTAGCAGTTACTTCTGTTTTCTCTGTCAATGCAAAGCGTGGTCATCTACTTCAAGTGAGAGGTGGGGGGATGAGTGTTGGTGATTTAAGGAGAAAGGGGAGGTATTGCCTCTGCGAGTGGGATGGTGGATTGACCAGAGGGAAATGGAGGCTGTGCAGTGCCCACTTGAGGCGAGTGCCCCTGAATTTCTACCAGGATGAGTCAACATAGTCATGTGGTGTCCCCAGCCATGCTCAGGAGCAGGAGTGAAGCAGGGGACTTGCATTTACCAGGGTGATTTTGCCAGGTGAGTTGGATAAAGTCAAGGTGAGGTGTGTACGTGGAAGGGGTGAGGTGAGTGAGCTGCAAGTAGAGGCTGTGGGAGTCAAGCAGTGGGCCATCTGATGTGGAGAGTTGGGAAGCAATGCACTTATTGGTAGTGACAAGGTCTGGAGCTGCAGCTCTCAGGCATGAGTGCGCATCAGCATCCCCTGGAGGGCTTGTGAAGACAGAGCCCTGGGCCCCAGCCCAGACTGCTGACTCTGTAGGTCTGGGTGGGGCCTGAGAAGTGGCATCTCTTATAAGTTTCCAGGGCAGGCTGAGGCTGCCAGCCTGGGGACCTCACTTAGACTCTGGCTGAAGTGGAGAGGGTGCCCAGACTATTGGAGGAAAGGAACTACAGCGTGGGAAGGGGGAATCCCCTATCTGCGTGGATCTGGAATTTACTCAGGACAAGACAGGAGCAGTGGTGGAGGGACAAGAGTAATCCAGATGCTAAAATCAGTGACGGTGGGGTGTGAGGGGCCTGGAGAGCAGCAGATCTTTGTCATAAGAAGGGGGTAGAGGGGATAATTTGAGGGCCAGTTGTGTTCTGTAGACTCGAAGTAGTATTATATTTTTCAATTTAAAGATCATGACAACATTTTTTTCTCCTGATTCACGGACTTACATGAAAAGTCCTAGAAGATTTTGTAGACTTTTGGTTATATACTTAATTACAGAGCACTCCTATAAAACACAGAGCAAAATTACAGGAGCCCAGCATCTAAAGTCTTGGACGCACTTGGTGACACAGTGCTAAGCGTTCACAGATGGTGCAGTCAGGGTGGGCAGGAGTCCCTGGGAAGTCTTGGTGAGGGACATGGGTCTGGAGTCAGAGGAGAAGGGGTGCACAGGGACATTTTCAGGGTACTGAACATGAACAAAAGTGGCTGCCACATGGCCTGTGCATGCAGAAAGCAGGAGGTCAATGGGTGCAGGGGGAGGAGCCATGGAGGGGGAGCAATGTTCAGCTTGCCTGACTGGGGCTCACATAGGGTGTAGGGAAGTTGGAAAAGTGGGGACTGATATTCTTGGGGAATTTTTGGAAGGTGGCTGCAGTGACTGGGAGTTACCCCCATGGGTGATGAGCACAGAATTGGACAGGGTGTTACTTTTGTAAGGTCACAGAGCTGCTCAGAACTGAGGTAGTGACATCAGAGCCAGTGTTATTGCAGCTGCAGTCTGCTGCCTCCCAGGAAAGGCTACCACATTGCTCAAGTTCATTTGTATAACTTATTTCATCATTCACTTTAATTATAGGTTTTTGTTACCCTTGTTAGGTAAGAAAAGCCTTGTTAGGCTGACATAATACTTTAAAATACTAGTTTGTTTTGTTACAGTGAGGAAAAAAGGGACACCATGGCCACAGCATCATGGCAACCCTTCAGGGTCCCTATTCTCTATGATGTGAAACACTTTTGCCAGCCCAGATTGTTTTTTTTTTTCTCTGTGCATCCAGAGGTGACCTCCTAAATGGATCAGCAACATCAGTCGGCCAAGCGGAGGTTCAAATCCTGTTTCACAATAACTAAAATGACAGAAACATAATGCATGAGCCAGAGGGCTGATTAATTTACAGTGAGAAGTAAAATTGCCAGGAGAAAGGAACTGAAAAGTAAAAATAGCAGCCAGATTGCCATTGGCAAGGTGCTATGTAAGAATGGGCACAGGGACGTGGAGGAACTTAGCAGCCTTCTCTGCCCTTGTCAACACCCTTTGAGAGCTTGAAGCCAGAGCCTGGAGAGTGCTTGAGATCCAGACACACAGGGACTCTTGGGCTCTTGTTACGCGAGACTGCAGGCCATGCCACCCCGACACCCAGTACCAAGAGGGCCCACCACTGCATGAGGCTGGCTGTTCTCTTTCAATAGGCATTCCTGGGGAGGCAGGTTTGAGAGCCTTGAGTCTGGAGGGGCTGGGCTGCTGAAATAGCCTGCCCTTTCATGGGACTGTCATATCACCTTCCTTTGGATCTTAAATGTCATCATTAATGTCCCCCAGCCCCTCCTACTACAACAATGACCACTGGCATTTACTGAGCACTTACTTTATGCTTGGCCCCAGGCTGAATGCTCTACTTGGGCTAAAATCACTGAGTACTCCTACTAATAGAAGTATGTCTTGCCAGTAACCTCATTTTATAGATGTGGAAACAGAGGCTGGGAGAGTTTTGGTGACTTGCCCAGGCTCATGCAGCTAATGAGTAATGGAGTCAGGGCTCAAACCCAGGCTGAGTTCTCAAACTACATGATTATCCTGCCAGCTAGTTTTTGTGAGGTTTTTGAGTTTGAGTTTTACTTCTGGCTTTTGCCATTTTTTGTTGCCCACTTGGACATGAGGATGTGCCATGGGCTCATAGCACCTGCCTGCCCACCTTGCTCAGGCACCCCCTCCCTACCTGTTACCAAAAGCTCGGCACTTGTCCTTGAGGGTGCATGAGAAGAACGAGAATACGTGGTTTGAGGAGAAGGAAAGGGAAGTTTATTATTTTACCAGCAAAGGGGGAAAATGGCAGACTCATCTTAAAATCCAAATTCCCATACATAAGCAGAAATATGGAGCTTTTAAAGGGAGGCCATTTAGCTTCAGGCAATTGCTGTTTAACTACACTGGATGATTCTGATTGGTCCCATCTCTGGGGAAGACAATCTCCTGACCTCCACCCAGACCTCCACCTGGAGAGTTCCAGTTCAGCCATCTCCTGTGGCACAAAGAACAAAGGACATTCCTCTGCCCCTCCCAACCAGTGACTTGAGGCAGGGATGCAGGTTTTAGTTCTCAAAAAGAAGTGGGGGATGTTTTAAAGAGACAGAAAATATTTTTGCTATTTGTTTTTTTTCTAGGCCATTCCCTCTGTTTATATATTCCCCACTGTCAATATTCCCCTTCCATATCTATGGGAGGAGGGGTGATGACTCTGTTACAGCCCCATTCATTCCCGTTGCTTTGCTTTGTGTGTTGACCTTCAGCTTGCCTTCTCTTCCAGTGTGGGATTTGCAGTAAACCGATGGGCGATCTCCTGGGCCAGATCTTCATTCACCATGATACCATCCACTGTGGGAAGTGCTATGAGAAGCTTTTCTAGGTGGGTGCTGGCATCACAAGGGACAAGCAGCCAAGAGACTTGTTAGGGGGAAGAAATATATCTTGGTCTTTCCCTGAGTCTTAACCCAGACACTGTGCTCTCTCTCAGCCTTTATGTTCAGGGGGCCTCAAGTCCTCATGTTCCTATGCCCTATGATAGTTTGAGATCTTAGGTGACGTGGACAAAGTCCCTCCCTGGGGACACTTCCAAGTTACACCTTCCATCCAGCACCTCAGCTGAGCCCTCCAGCTACCCTGGGATGCTGGCTGGGGCTCTGTTGTTAGCCCCATTTTGCAACAAGGAAATACAGACTTAGAAAGGCAAGGGGCCTGGGGAAACACCTACTTGGTTTATGGTAGAATCAAGACTTCACCCCAGGTCTTCAGATCTCCATCCAGGGCTCTCTGCTACAGTCCCCCGGACCACCTCCATCAGTGCTTGCACAGCTTCAAATCAGGACTCGATAGCCAAGGTATTCAGTAAAACAAGCCTCTGGGGCACATGGTCAGCACTGCCTGAAGACTTGTGTGCCAATAGCCAGTGGAGTTGGCCACCATGTCTGAGCATAGAGCAGAATATATCCCTTGAAGGCAATCAGAATGGGCAGCAACCAGGCTCTCCACCAGCTACATGCTGGTCGCCTTCTCTCCAGAAGACACATTCAGCTGAACCGTAACTCCTGAGCACTGGAGCAGTCATCCATGCTGAGGGGCTGTGGCTGGTTATTAGGTTGGATGTGCATTTCCAGTCTCATGGCTACTTCTATTTTCTTTTAGCTCCCTCAGGCTGGTCACAAGCTGATGACTCCCGGAATAGTTTGGCTGTCTCCAGTTGCCCCAAGTTGCTGGCTCCTCTTCCCTCACTTCCTCCCTCCCTCCCTGTTTGATTTCTTCATGCTTTTGCCCTTCTCAAGTTGAACTTGCTTATATCCAACATCATATCTGCATGATGCTATGATAATTGCTTGTGGATTTAGCTTCTTATAGCTTAGAACGCACTTCACATCCATGATCTCAGTTCAGGCTCAATCAAAAAAGATTGAGTAAGAATTCTATCTTGACTTCACCAAGACAGATTGACTTTCTAATGAGTTTAGGTGGGCAGAAGTATGGGGTTCAGTGTATCCTTATTCCCTTGATGCTTCTGAGGGGCCAAGTTGAAGACTATTGATGATCCCTGGTGGGTAAATTACAGGCATTGAGTGCTTGAGATTGCATAGGCTGATGTTAGCTTGTGTATTTGCCATATATATATATTTTTTAATTTCTATAAACTTTTTAAAGTAGTTAGTTGCTTTTGATTGAGTTATATGGCAATTTTTAATTACCTCCTCCCACCCATCTTTCACTATGTTTGAGTTTTTCCCTGAAGGTATGTGGGCATGTATTGGAAGGTTTACACAATTAGGTTTAAATTCAATAGCATGTGACTTTAGGAGGCTACTGACCAAAGGGATACCTGTGTCTGTTAGAATCCTGATAGCTGATTAATACTTTTGCCCTCGATTCCTGCTCTCTGAGCTTTACACACAAATCCTCTCAAATGGATTTTAGGGTGATTAGATCCCAGCAGGATTGAGAAGGGAGAAAAGCAGCTAACATTTCTTGAGGCCTTAGCATGTACCAGGCACTGTCACAAAGTGATGGCATTAATTCCCATAATAATCCTGTGAAGAGGGTATTCTTATACCCATTTTACAGATGAGGACACTGAGGCTCAGAGAGGTGGTCCTTGTGTTGTATAGAACTCTGTGCAGAACCACTGCTCGCTTTCTCCGGAGCCCATGCTCTCTCCAGGAGCAGTAACCACAACAGCGAGTAATTGACTTAGCGCTCAGTATGTGCCAAGCACTGTGCGGAGAATACCTAATTCCTACCAGGTAACGCCACTCCCCTCTGAGCTCCAGAGGCATACTATTACAAGGAGGGGAATGGGGGAAGGTGTGACATCGTACTCTTCTGGGCATCCCAGATCCATGGATTTGCCCCCCACTTGAAGTACTACAGGGGCCAAATTGCCCTTCTTTTCCTCTCCTCCCCTTTCTGTAAGACTGCTTCTTAACTGGGATACTGTCAGCTGGGAGCAGATTTGACTCATAGATCTTCCCAAAGAGGAGCTTGTCAATCCAGGGGAAGCTCCAGTGGGCTAGCCTATCTGAGCATGGAGTTTTCAGTGACCTCCTATTTTCCAGTCCAGACTCTGTCTCAAGCTAGGAACAACTGCTGGGGCCTCATGTACTCGGAACATGGAAACCTGTTGGCCAGCTGGGCAGATGCAGGCCCATCCATGCAGCCAGCTGACACTCTATTCAGGATCAATTGTACCCTGCCACCTTTGGGCCCAGCATCACTTTGTAAGCTCCTTGAGAGGAAGAACAACCTTACAGTATTTCTGATACAAAATGAGAGCCTCTTCTCTTGATTAATTATAAAATGTCTCCATCTTTCTCCAGTTTCTGAACCCTATTCACATTGGCTTGTGGACTTGATCTTCCTTCCAAATGATCAGAGAGGAAAATTCCATTTACTTGAATAGCTGTGGAGGGGAAAAGTACAGTGTGCCACGTATACACACTAAGTACGAGCTGGTCTTCCTCAAGTCTAGCCCCCAACATGGGACTTGGCACATAGTGGGCACTAACACACAGGAGCTGAAAGAATGAGTGAAAGAGAAAGCAAAGTCACTGCTTTAGTGAGAGGCGCCATCCCTGAGACTCAGTGCAGACCCACCTGATGGCTTCCCTGCCTTCATGGTGTGCTCTACCTTTAAGGGTATTTTAGAACCAACATGCAAGATATTGAAAGAAAGCTTGCAAGATCAGTATTGATTTTGATCCAAAACAGCCTCTTTCATGTCTAAAAAGGCACAGAATCTGCAGACTTATGGAAGAGCTATGGTTGCATTACATCTTTGCTTCCTTTTAATTGCTTAGTGTGTCTAATCATAGTTGCTTAATCCACATTACTGTACACAATTATAATAAATGTTAAGATACTACATGTGTCAGTGTTAAGGTTTCCTTTTGTAAGTGTAATAACTTGGTGTATTCTGCTGTGTGATTTCTCCTACTGTCTGAAGCCATTCTCCCTACAAAAGCAAATAAATAGTTTATAGCAAGAGCTACAAACTGTTCACGCACAGGAATTGTGTAATTAGAGACTCTTAAAATCTTAATAAGGAATATTATATTCTTTTGGGTTCATCTTCCCAGATAGATGGCCACCTAGTCCTTACTGCACACTTTCAATTAACAGTAGCGCAGTCCCTTATGTGGATTCTGTCAGCCTCAGTTTTAGAAGATACATTCTTCAGTTGACTTAAAACCTGTTTCCCTTTTTTTTTAAATTTCAGAATATTATGGGAGTACACATGTTTTGGTAACAGTTTGAGTCAGCTATATAAAAGCAAATTATGTTTCCCTTAAGTGTCACCCACTGGTAATCTTTGATCTCTCTGCTAGATGTCAGCCTCTAAAATAGGTGAAGATACTTCTCGGATTCTCTCTCAGTCAACTCTTCTCCCATTTAAACACCCCTGGTCCCTTCAGTTCTTCCTTGACAGTAATTCAGAATATATATCTCTGAGAAGTGACCCCCAACATGCACCCCAACCCACTGCTCTACCAACAGGCAAGACTGTTACATCTTGCTCATAAAGGTCAGTGCCCAGGCTGTCCAAACCCTGTTGAATCATCATTATGCCTATCAAGTGAGCCATGCTGCCAAGTTTTATATCATCTGAAAATGCCATCTGCATGCCATCTGAGTCTTGATCCAACCCAGGAACAGGAAGGAATGACCAGCAAGTCCAAAGATGGAAGACATGACACTTAGAGGACTGCTTCCATCACTGAGTAGGGACCTTGGGCCGTTGAACTCTTACCTCAACATTGGCTACCATCTTAGTACAATGAGAGAGGAAGAATTTCTACTGATTCAAGAGACAAGGACTACAACAGGAGCTCCTAACTAGGTATTTCTAGGACTCTCAGTTGGTGATGGTATGTGACACAAAGACCTAAAAGAGGAATAAGGGAGTGTCATTTTGAGATAGCACTTAGCAGGCCAGTTGATTCCAGTGTTGGGCCTCTGCCATTGTCACTCCTGTGAGGCCCTACCTGTGCATTTCCGTGTGCTGACCTCTGGAGCCTGCTCTTGGCTATGAATGTCTTCAGCCTGTGAATTTCCTCTGTAGAATACATTCCTCTCGCAAAGCTTCTCTGCACAGTATCCTCTGCCTGGGAAGGTCCCTTGGACAAGTTCCTTTTCCTCTCTGGGCTTCCATTCACCATCTAGCTAAAATAAAAGTGTGAGATTCATGATCTCTAAAGATACTTCCAGCCCCAAATGTCTGTCATTCTAAGATTCCAAAAATTAGCAGACGTTTTACCCCAACATACACACATATTCCAGAATCAACGGAACACAGAAGTCGGGTGGTGAGGGATGATCACGACAGAGTGGATGAATCATAGGATACAAGACATGATCCATGACCAGGGGGCCTTGTGCTCCAGGCCCCACACACAGTGCCTTCTACCTGCAAATGCCCTCCGCTCTCTGAACTCTGCTGCTCAGTTCTGTCCTCCCCAAGGACTTTGCCAGTGAGGCTGTGGGCACACAGCCTTCTTCCTGTGAGTGCCCTTGCCGTGGTGTGCTTTGCTTAAGGAGTCATGCTAAAGGTTTATTGATTTTGTTCTTTTCAAAGAACAACATTGATTTTTTTATTGTTTCATTAATTTTTTCTATTATTTTCTACTCTCTGTTTCATTAATATCCCCTCTAATATTTATTGTTTCCTCCTTTCTACTTGCTTTGGATTTAGTTTGCTCTTTTTTTCTAGTTCCTTAAGGTGTAAAGTTACGTTATTGGTTTGAGATCTTTCCTTTTTAATGTATGTGTTTACAGCCATAAATTTTTCCCTGAGCACTGCTTTAGCTGCATGTTGTGTTTTCCTCTTCCTTCATCGTAAAGATTTTCTAATTTCCCTTATGACTTCTT